ATTTTGTTTTGTTGACTCTATTCATGACCAATCTATCTGAGATAATTCTCAATTCTCCAGGGTAATAATCATTTTTCACATTATCTGTCACAGAGTCTAAATTCTGCTAAACTGAATAAAGAAAAAAAGGTTTTCAAACCTCTGAAGCTGAACTCTGTAATGAAAGAACATCTATTATTCGATTTCGTGGAAAATCCGCAAACGTATTTACAAGATTTGTTTCTGTGGGACTGTTCTTGATCCTCATCTTTCTTCATTAGTCATGTGTGTTTTTTCTCATTAAAAGTGGAGTTGTATCCTGCCTCATAACCACTCCACCACAAAGTCTCCAAGTTTTATGTGAGAACATTTGTGTAAGGACAATCAAACCCAGAAATCAGCATTTCCCTCGGCTTCCTCTCAGTTACGTCAAGTGTATAAAAGATAGTCAGGGAGGTTTTAGATTACATCGACGTTAACAGCTTCTTCATGATGTCGAAGCGCAGATAACCGGTATTAACGACCACTTTACGAGCCGCCGTGAGGTTTGAGTTTACGTCAGCTGCGAGATGAAGCATGACTGTGAATGCAGCATGTTAAATACTCTTAGCATTGTACTTTTTGGGGGGGTAGAAGCATCATAAGAGAGTATGTCACAGTGAAATATGGGATTTGATCATTTATCTTAAGAAAACAAAGACAAAGTTTGTTTTTTTGAGCTAGAAAACTAAAAGCCCCTCTCTCCCAGTGTCATGTTGTGAAATCAGTTCAATTCTCGTTGATAAAGACATTAAGTCTGTGATAGTTTACCATGTTTGTCATTCATTGTGTAGTTTACTGCGACCCAGACCTCAGACTAGGGCTGAAACGATTCCTCGAGTACCCCAGCACATTCTTGTTTCCATGACATCAAGCTCTTTTTAAGTTTATGCATTTTAATACTGTTTCTGTTGCAATTAGATTGTGGAGTGGGAATGAGGGGTTGGGTAGATTTGGGTATTCCTTGTTTCTTTTATTCCTTTTTCTGTGTAAAGTACTTTGTGCTACATGATGTGTATAAAAAGTGCTATATAAAGACTGATTGAAACAAAAGTCCACCAGTATTTACTAAATCCTATATAACTTTAAAGATTTTCATTATCTGAAAACAGCATAAAGAAAAAAAAACAATCAGCAATGTCTCTTTAAGAGATCCATGTCACTGAACTTACTTTTCAATGAAGCTCATGCAAATTAAAACCTTGGGACTTCGATGTACTTCAAGATTTTACCAAAGCCAATTCTCATGAACCAAACAAGTTTGGGAAATTTCTCTGGCAGAACTTGAGAGAACTTCTCCAAAGTTTTTAGCTGCTCAAAAATGGGATATATATATCAGGTGAATTTGTCTTGCATAAATTTTCAGAGGTTTGTACTCTCCTCTTCATCAAGTCTACTCCATGTAATCTTCCTGTATCTGTGTTGCTCTACAGTAAAAACTTCCAAATCCCATCCTTACTTTGAAAACAGTAAACAATATTAAAATTTTTTGCACCTTCTCCTCATCTATAGAAACTCCCACCATCTCTTTACCTCTCATTGTTTCTGTACCCCCTCACTGGTAAACAAGTGCAAAGGGGAACAGATGTGCAGCAGCAGAGCATGCTGATAACTTTTCTGTTCTGTGAAATAGAGAAAAAAAAACAACTGACTAGTCGAAAACTGAAAACACATTTGCATTTCTCGAGCATTCAGTGCAGAGCAGCCAACCGTAAAAAATGTTTCTGCTTCACTTACACTTAATTGTGAGGAGCAGAACTGTGTTTTTACGCTGAAATGTACCACTGGTAGTTGTATAAATGTTTAAAAGATGAGGAGAGCCCAAGTTGAAATTTTATCTCTTTTTAACTGTCCCCTTTGGGGTCTTACAGAGCCTAAAAAACTAATACCTGATTAAGTTTAGATTATTAAACTGTCAGAGCAGCTAACTTATATCAGTGTGGTTTTATAAGAAAAAAAAAACATCCAAATTAGGGCTGCATGATTTATCGATTTTAAATTGTGATCTGATTATTTAATTATGACGATGTTAAAAAAAACATTAAAATTGTCAAATTGATTTTCTTCTCTATCGTGTCTTGCACCTCCAGGCCACCGTAGGCTCCACTTTCCCAGTTCTCACTCACACACACCAGTGTAAACAAACATGGAGTTTTTAAATGAAGGTGATAATTTCGTTGCTAAATAGGACAAAAGCAAGTCAGTCATGTGGAATTGGTACGGCTTCACAGTTTCAGATGAAGAGAAAAACCACTTCCTGCTGCAAAGTCTGTCTGAAGGCTGTATCAATCCATCCACATGGAAACGAATTCAGGAGTAAACGCTTTAGTGTTTTGTCGTATCGGCGTTTCATCCGCATGGAAACAGCGTTTCAAGTGACTGTAAACTGTACTTTTTGAAAATTGGTCAGAGAGCGTATAAATTAAATCCAAAATTGACTACCACTTAATCTCTGTGTGGATGTCTTTCTGCATCTCTGGAAACGATCATGTGACACACAGCGTAACTCGTTTATGGCGGCTGAGCATGTCCGTCCAAACCAGCCTTTATACGCATGCTCTGTACTCTTCTTCTGTCAAGTTGTCAATGAATAAAAAATCGAATTTGGAAATAAAAAGTTGAGTTTTCAGAAAAAAAATAATTTTTGGCCAAAATCATGCAGCCCTAGTTCAAATCCTTACATTACCCAAGCAAAATTAGCAAAGAAACCCCCAAGAAGTACAAATACCTCATATTTGTGATTGAGTACTATACTTTAATAATGTTCCTCTGACTGCCTGCAAAAAATACGCATAAAATTGTAAAACAGATTTTTGTTTTAAGTAAAACTGTAGCCTTTTGTCTTTACATTTCTACAAATGATTAATATGTCAAATAAACAGTTTTTCACATCTGCCTTTTAGTCTAAACTGAGCATAACAGCGGTCTCTTCCAGCTGAAACAGTCTGTCATGAACCGATCCATGAGAATTTTGTTTCATAGAGATTGTGATCAGCCTGAATAACTCAAACCAATTCATCTAGCAGGCTGCTTCTTGGAATCACAGGCAGACAGGGTGAGAATTCTAGTTTTCCCATGATGCTTTACCGTGAATAGCCACTAGAGGAGGTCAAAGGCAAGCGCATGACTCGTCAACACAGATGGACTCGGTCACATGTTGTCTTTTGAGTGCCACACAAAACCACTAACATCCTGAATCACTGTCAGGCGAACAGCAGCTAACGATGACAGAAACAGAGCTGTGGTTCAAGTGACAAACCCTTCAGAATAAAAGGCAGAGGATTTATTGAACCCTCCACCACTGAAATACAACACCCCCTCCAGTAAGTAGCACAAACTTGATGTTTCACAAGTGCCTCTCGGGCCGCTCCTGCCAGTCTGCACTTCATTAGGCTGATTGCTCGTCTGTGTGAGCGGCTCGCTTCGCCTGCCAGTCCTCTCAGCCTGTCCGCCTTGTTCTGATTAAAGGGAAACCTTGTAAATAAGCTGCTGCCCACAAACGATTTCCTCATTACATCAAAGTCACACGGAAGTTGTAAGCTGGTTTTATAATTTCAACAAAGACACAGGCACCTTTAAAGCAACTAAACCCTGCCTGTGGTTCAGTATAAATTAGCTTTGAACCTGAAAGGTCTGGTCGAATTCTGCAGATCCAGATCCAGTGGAGGAGTTGTTAACACTTTAATAAGGCAGGAAAAACATGACGCTCATGAGAATAACAAGAGTAGTAGGTGTAAGTGTCAGTGTGAGCAACTAATAGAAACAGAATTGAAGGAATTGTTTCCAGTTTTTCTTAGTTAAATATGTGACAAGTGGAGGAGTTTTTTGACATTATTGACATAGACTGAAATCTATATTTGTGCCTTCTTATGACATCTCAAAGCAAACCAGATCATCAGCAGCATGAAAGATGACTTTCATATATATTTTTTTTTCTTATGTAGGGTGACCATACGTCCTCTTTTACCTGGACATGTCCTCTTTTTGGGGGGCTGTCCGGCCTTGTCCGGCCTTGTCCGGCTTTGTCTGGGGAAGTTTATAAAATCCTTCGAATGTCTGCGGTTTTGTACGGAAGTTTCGAGTTCATGTCACGTGGACTAACCGAGTTATAAGCGCGTAAAAGACACTCGATCAGACCCGAAAAACGTTGTGTCCTCTTTTTGGGGATTTCGAATATGGTCACCCTATTTTTATGTCTAAAATCAGTGCGAGAGCGTAGGTTTCAGCCAGTTTTTACAAGTTACACAAAAATACGTCCAGTAAATGACACATTTGATTGTCAGAAGTTAGCAGGATGCGAGTTTTTATCACTCAAGCTTATAAAGGACATGATAAGCAAAGACTGCTTTGTCCACAGGGGGGCGCCAAAGTTGGCACAAACCTAAAGTTCCTCACTGGAGCTTTAAGAGCAAGGAATACTCAAGCTGTCAGTGTTGATCCATTAACTACGATGGGATTCGTCCCTTCTGACATACCGTTGTTAAGCTGCTGCAGTGTCTTCTTGCTTCCTGTTGATGGAAAGTAAATCACCACATTTCATTTAAACAAACCCTGAGATGTCTCAGTTAAGCGGTCAGTTAGTGTCAAATGGAATTATAATATTACCAAAGTGCACCAAGTTTGAGCTACAACCTTCAAGCTAAGCTAATCAGACAGATGTTAACGGGCCTTTGCATCTCAAAAGCTAGCATGGCACTGTTATGGAGTTTATGAATCGTGACGGACTAACCAAACTGGAACTCCTAAAAAGTGCAAACCCTGTTACATCGACCAGGGATTAGTGGATGTCCATGAAAAATGCTTTGCAACAGTAAAATAGACTTAACATGGAAATTAATGGAATTTTTGAACATCACCTAAAAATGCGACTGATCAAGATTAACTTTTAAAATTCAAAGATTGATCATAAATTATAAAAAAAAGATAATCATTTGACACCTTTTGAAGATTTTACCAGAAGTCGAATTATTTTCATGTTCACATCAGGGTCTCGTGTTTATTCCTGTCCGCCTCCTCCCCCAATAAACCGTTTACATGTTCTAACACTGCTGTGAGTTTCTCACGCAACTCTCATCCCGATAACTCATAATTGTCAATATAGAGTAGATGATTACCAGAGAGACAACCTTCTATGCAAACCAGACTCTATAAAAGTGTATTTCAGCCTCCAAACAGAGAAGTTTGAACAGTGCGGTATATGATGGGTGAGTTATAATGGGAACTATCTGTGAACTGGGATAATTTATGGGTATCATTTATGGTTTGTCAAACATTGCCTTGAAGTGACCGCCGTCTGATGGGAAACACAGACACAGATTACACCACACACACGCAAAGATGTGAGAGCACACATGCGCGAAAAAAAGCAAAGAGGGGGGAAAGAAAAAAAAAAAGCACAACAGCTGATTTCACAGGCAAATTACACGATCCTGAGTAGACATAGCTGAATGTTTTCATACTGCTACTTTATTTTTGAAATTAAATGTCATTTATTCATAAGAAAACGACAACTTTTCATAACATGGGTGGGAGAAAAATATCTATATACTGTACAAACTGCATAGAAGAGAGCAGGCCCTTTCAAAGGGACGTTAAGAAGAGGAGAAATATAAATACACCTTTGGTCGGACGTTTAGTACCAAATTCTCATAAATACACAAGATGAGGCATTCATACATTTTCCAGCATAATTATATTGTAGGAGATAGAATAAATATGTCATAAATGTGTTGTAAGTGGTGAAAATGTTTCTTTTATTGCTATCAGATAAAATATGAAAGAGTTTAAAGTGTGTAATTGTAGTTGAAAAACCTTTTTAAAACATCAGCCTGTGTTTTAAACGGGAAAAAACACATTTTTAAGGCAAACACTTGCTGGATTTGTTGACTGCTTCAGTGATATGTTTTAATTGGCCTGAGTTTCTGAAACACTCGACATCCACGCAAGCGCACAAACTAAGGCTTAAGTCAAGGCACTGTATAGATCGAAGGAAGAGGCGGAAGTGAAGTGCAAGCCGAGTCCCCCCAAGTGATTATTGCATAAGTAAACAAGTGAAGAGTCTAAACAAACAGATGGACGGTGAAGCCCCTCCTCTTTAAGACAAAGCTCGTAAACAGGCAGTCCAAAGGAGCTCGTTTTCGATTCTCATGGTGGAAAAATAGATTCTTAAATTTTTGCGTCGAAGTGCTTATAAAGTTGATCCAAACACTCCCTGTGCAATAAAGATATCATAAACATAGATTTCAATTATGTCAGTCTGACACAGTCCCTGGAGTTCAATCCTTGGAGATTCATTCACACAAAGTCTGTGATATTTCCATGTTTATGATAGGTGGTACATGCTGTAGCCCAGAGGAGCAGCATAAAGTCCCAGAGGTGAGATGGGCAGTATGGGTCTGTGGTGGTGATGGTAGGCAGAGTAAGACTGTCCGTACAGTGTCATGGCGCCCAGCGTCAGAGGTAATGTAAACCCAGGATGTAAACCCCCTGCAGTAGCTGCTGCTACTGCAGCCGTCTTGGCATCTGCAGCCATCTTGAGCTTCTCCATCTCGGCCTCCTGCAGCCTCTTGGCTTTTGCTCGGCGGTTCTGGAACCAGATCTTGACCTGGGTCTCAGTTAGGGTCAGAGAGGAGGAGAACTCGGCCCGCTCTGCGATGGAGAGGTACTGCTTCTGCCGAAACTTTCTCTCCAGGGCCAGCAGCTGGGACGTGCTGAAGGGGGTGCGAGGCTTTCGGTTGGTCTTGTGTTTTCTCAGAGGACAGACGGGACTGACGTGATCTAGGAGAGACAGCAATGAAGTTTTAGGAACCGGGATTAGATTTGTAAAACTTTCTGAAAGAGTTCTGAAATGTTGAGGGTTGAATGTCCGTCTTTGTGCTGGTCGAACATGTCGAACATCAGGACTTAATCTTTTACAGATTCAATTTTATGAACATACAGTGTTTGATTGTATTAACTAGGGCTGGGCGATAAAACGATAACAATACATATTGAGTATTAATTTTCTGCAATATCAATATAAAACATGGTCAATATCTTTTTGATAGTGGGCATTCTGCCATGTTTTGGTAGACTATACGAATAGCCAATGAAAAGGGGAGTTGCTCTGGGTCCGCTTTGCGTTGAACCAATCATATGCTGAATTGGAATCAAGTAGCAAACAACTGCATGGCAGCAGGCAGCAGCTATACGTAACCGTAGCACTTAAACACATGAAGCCGACAGATGCAGATGAAGGCTCAACAGATGACAATATTGTCAACACCACTGACATGAAAACATTGGTGGTGTGGAGGTATTTTGGTTTTTTGAGGTTGGACATGAAGCCGAGTAATGTGCACTTCAAATTACATTGCGCACATGTTCTCGCAAAGTCGTTTAATACCTCAAATCTTTTCCCCACGCGGCAGAGTGCGCACAATGCAAAGGGTTACAAACCCGGAACAGAGCAAGGAGCCCATGGCGCCTGTGCAGCTGAAACAGCTGACCATTCCACATTCTTTAGCGCAAAGCCGTATGACAAAATGTCAAAATACACAAAGACCTCACAGATGCAGTTGCTTATTGTATTGCAAAAGACATGCTACCAATAGGCACTGTTAAATTTGATTTAAGAGTAACGAGGAACATTTAAGATTGACAAGTAATTTTTTAATATCCTGATATATATCGATATTGACGTGATAAACTTTTTCCCATATCGTCCAGCCCTATGTTGAGGATGGAACGTCAGTCTTTGTGCTGTTTTTTTCTGATCCTTGGGTTATATAAATATTGTGTTGAAAATTGAACATCAGGACTTTCTTTGTAATAGATTTGATTTCATGAATTGCTAACATACAGTGTATGATTGTATTAGCAGTGCAGTTTCACACACACTGTCTTTGTTATCTAAATTCCTTCAGTCCACTCTGCTCTACCTTTCAACAGAAAATCTAAGTAAGAGCATTAAAAAGTTTAGTATTTTACTCTAAACTGCAGTAGGACACATTGCTCGTAAACAGACCCTGACTCCAGTGCAGTTTCTTTAAAGGTCAGATGAACTACATTGATTTTTCGATGAGGTAGAAACTTACGGGGCTGTTGTGAAAACGCGCTCCCGGTGACCCAGGACTCCTCTGACTCTGATGTCTCGGATTTAACCGGAGATGAAGGCTCGGCAGTCAAACACCTCCTGCTCCCATCTGGAACTCCGCACTTCTCTCTGTAAAGATACAAAGGGTTCAAACCCAGAGGAGACACCGCCACCTCCGCTTTACACCGAGCGGACTCCCCGCCGCGACCCTCCGTCTTCCTCCCGGACATGAGCGCCTCTACGCTGAACGGATGATGCCGACGCACCGCTGGAGACGACGACGACGTCTTCTTCTCCTCCGAGTCCGGACGAGCGCTGTCCTCCTCGGACGAACTGCAGCCGAACTCGTTAAAAGTCTCTTGAGAGGCCATTTCTCCTCCAGGTCAGTCCCGAAATGAAAGCACAAGTCCGGTCAGGTGAGTGGAGCCAGGTGAGACCGGCTCCTGGGCGCGCGGTGTTCTGAAGTGTCATGTAGTTCTGCGGGGGTAAGTACACGAGGCACATTAACGCCGCTCAGCTCTAACCAATCACTGCCTCCCAAAATGTGCGTGAGCGACAACATGCTGCCTTCAGGGGCCGTCGTAAAAGAGAGTTGCTTGTTCTGTCTTTAACAACAAAAGTTACCCGCATATTTACATTCAGTTTTTTACTGATATCATATGTTTCGAAGTTTATTTATATGATATGACATGTGCTGAAAGACACCCTGCAAAGAAAATGACACATTATGAAAAGAGAATAAAAGAACAGTTCACAAGTTGAAAGTCAATTTAAAAAGGTGTTTTTAGGAGTGATTTGAAAGTATGGGGGTCTTTTTAGTCTCGCATGGTTTTGGGGAGTGAATTCCAGAGGGTGGGCAGCAGCTCTGTCCCCCCAAGTTTGTACTATACAAGAGTACAAGCTATTAACGTGTTAGTATAGTAATAATAAAGTGCATACTCTGGTATGAGAATGTAGCCTACTTTGGTATCTTGTTATTTTTTACATTTTATATGGAGAGAATAAAAGAACATTCTCCAGGGATTAAAACTATGTTTAAAGAGGTGGAAATAGTTTTAAAATATCAGGTGAAAGCACTTTAAGACTTTACTTAAGTGGAATTAAAACTACAACCTTGGTCATCTCCTAAACTACAAGTAAAAGTAAAAAGTGCTTGATCTAAAATATTCTTTATGCACTTATAACAAATGGCTGTGGAGGAACAAGAAGTCACCTACACCACCCCAAAACATATGTTTCATCTTTAGCTAAGATAGCGATGTATATTTATTTCAACAGTGTGACCATTTCACTTGCATTTGCGACTAGAAATAGAACTGTTCAAAACTGTTTGACCATCTTCATTTTTTCATTTTCAATTAGATCCACTGATAAAAAACACGACAATGACTGTTTTGAGCAGTAACCTTGTTGTTTCACCTAACAGCTGTTAAGTGTTCTATCTGTATAATTTTAAAATATGTGTAAAATCAAGTTCTATATCTCAATTTTGTACCCCCAAAACAAATCAAGATTTCTTTGACTATCTAATATCACTTGCTCTCCTGCTGGATCGTAGCTGTAATAAATGGATTTAACAGAAAAGCTTTTGTAAATAACAGCTCTGCCGCAGCATTATCACATGTTAAGCTTTGGTAATGGATTAGCTCTGATGCTAACCTCATGGGACTGTGTGTGTAAACACAGGGCCCCATGCGGATAATTATGGAGAGTTATACTCAGGATGAAATAATGTTTATCGTGTAATCCCTCTGCGTTTTTATCTTTTGCCGATTTGTTTGCTCTTCCCTTTATTGGGACTTTCCATCGTTACTGACAGCGTCGCTCTGTGCTGTGTTAGAGTTTCGAGCAAGCGTTCATGATGAAATTACAGAGAAAATTGCTCGACTAAATTACAGATTTTAGTTTTTGAAACCCTCTGCTTGGTCCGGCTGGTGTATGAGGCACAACTGGACCAGATGAGACATCTGCATTTGGACCCATTTATCTTCCTGTCCTATGATTCAGTTCCATTTTCTGCACACATTACACATGAAGTTAGTCATTGTGACTCTCATGAATCAGCTCTTTGTGAATTTTCCAAGAACAATTTCATGTTATGTCAGATGAAAGTGCCTGAGTCCTGATGATGATTACACGCGTGTTTGAGCGGCTTATCTGTAGAGACAGACCTTTGGTGATGGTTGAAATATTTTAAAGCTGGACAGATATTTTACATATTTTAAGATTGATTTTCCCACACTTATGCTTGTTTGAGGGCTTTCTTCTTTGTTGCCTAATTTCTATTATTTGATAACCGTATTTTTGTATAATGGACCTGTTCTGCGCTGGATGATTGCCTTTTGTATTACCTGAACTGCTAATATCTCAGTTAGGGATGAACACACTCCACTGTATATCTGATGAGTTATCAGACAACAATGAGAATGTTTAATTTAATTTAATTTTTTTTAAATTTAGCTAGCTAGAGATGTTCCTATACCAATTTTTGCCGATACTTGCTGTGGGTATCGGCCGATACCGAGTACCGATCCTATACAAGTATGTTATTAAAAAATCTTTATATCATACCAGGCCAGCATGACAGTCTAAGGACTGGCTCAGGTTAATCCCTTTGTAAAACACAAATAAATACAACAAATTCAAGCCACTTATTTTTAAATAGAATAGTATGAAAAATGACAAATGCAATTTCACTAAATAAATCTCGAAATAATTATTTTTAAAAAATTAAAATGCAGCCACAATATTTTTAAATAAAAACAGAATTTAAACAGAACAAAGCTAATGGAGCTAATAGTACATAAATTACTAATTTAATAAGTTACGTGGTATCTGATCGGTGCCTGGACTCCAGTACTCAACGATACCAGTGCCAACATTTTCGGCAGTATCGGAATCGGAACAACTCTATTTTCAGTAAATAAAAATGGAAAAAAGTTTTTTTCTTTTACACATTAATGTGTCTATATAGTAGGGGTGGGACTCACTAGTGGCCCCATGATATGATATCACGATACTTGGGCCACGATACAATATAAATGCGATTTTTAACATTTTGCAATGCAGTGAGTATGGCGATACAATATATAGCGATTTATACAATTTTTCAACTGTTACACTAATTTAGCATTTGTCTTTCCTTTATGTTTGTCTTATTTACGCTGTACTTTATCTTCATGTAGCACCTCTTGCAAATCTTATATATACTTTTTGTACAAACTTTCCCCCACTCTATGATGTCACCTCTGCCGACCTTACTAGACAAACAGTTGATTTTAATTTTCCATTATCATAGATTTGACTTCATATTAGCAATTAATTTGAAAAAATCGGTACTTGGTAAATGAGACGATATGATATATCACCAGACAAAATATCGGGATACTATGCTGTATCGATTTTTTTCTCCCACCCCTACCATATAGTTGGTGATATATGTGATCTGCCATCACATGCATCGATTGTTAAATCTGAGCATCTTCAGCTGTAGCGCCACAGTCCTGATTGTGCTGATTCAACAATTATTTGAGCACTGCAGAAAGTTTCCCAGGGACAAGTGAACTGCTGAGGCAATTAATGACAAACTGACTAGATTTACAGCACTCACAACTGCTGCCACTTTGAAGATGTACACAAACATTTAGTGTCTAATCGACAATAAAACTAGTGACATAAGTTTCATAGACGTCTGACGTCAGTCCAGATCTCAGTTTGACGGTCCAGTGGCTGCTAGATAAGGAACGCATTATTGCCATTGTTTTCTAAATCTTCATCGATCTGCCTCTGAGGCGTGTAAATGACACACATTAAAAACTGTAAGAGAAGGTGTTGGTAATAAGTTATTGTCAGTGATGACAAATTATATATCCTATATTTCTACTGTAAGTGGAGCTATAAGTACAATACAGAATATTTTTCCAACAGTTTCCTGGGTTTGTTTAACTCTAAACTCTTAAGGCTGAAACTTAAGGCTGAAAAAAAGAAACTCGCAATAGTGTGGCAACTTTGGGTTTAAATAGAGACACTGTACACTTCAGCCAATATGTATTTATGTGTATGTATCCAGCAGGCCTGAGTGTCCTGTCTCTGTAAGACTGTAGAGTAGTTCCCAGGAGGAGGTTGTTGCTGCTGCTGCTGCTGCTGCTGCCGCCTTATTAAAGTGGGGTTATTTCACAGACAATCAGAGGTTTGTGAAGGCGCCAGTGAGCGGCCAGATGAAAGGAGCGACTCCTCAGGGGAGAAACTGTTGCCTTTTTTTCTGCTCTGTTCAGGATCCCCACCTCCATCCTCCTCCACCCCTCCCTCTCCCTCCCTCTCTCTCTCTCTCTCTCTAACCGCACACCCCACAGGCACCTTGTCAGTCATTATTCACACAACTCCTTCTTGGCTGAGAGTCAGTGGTCTGTTTCCTCTCTCGTCGTTTTTTATGCTTGTTAGGTTTGGTTTCTATCTTTATCTCTTCTGCTTCTTTCCTTCTCTTCATTAATCTTTAACCCTACATCACTCTTTCTAAGCCAGTGTCCTCTCTCCTTTTACCCTCATCCATCCAAAAAAGAGGCAGTGTGCCTATCAAAATGAAGTTACGGTTAAAAAAATTACTCCTGCCATACAAGCTGATTTATCTTTTCTCCTGCTGCCAATCGCCGATTATCCAATCACACTAACTCTTGGCACTAATGCACTTTAATTGTCTCATTTTGAAATATAACCCATCAGGCATTGGCACAAGCTAAAGCCTGCTCTAACAACAAATCCACAAACAGAGTCAGAGCAACAAAACTTCAACCAAATCAGAGGTTCATGTTCCCAATGCACCGTGAATATTTGACTGCAAAGCAACTGACAGGAACGTAAATCTTAACTGTGCAGTATTTTATAGGTACATGCAAATAATACAACAGCAGCATCATGTGAACATGCACCCATCAAAGACTTTTGCAAGAAGGAGGGAAAAAGGAAGGAAGGAAGGAAGGAAGGAAGGAGGAGGGGTAGAATTGAGCGGGCGCTCTCTTGGGTGTAGCAAAATTACCCACACATCCCACTTCCTTTTTTCCGTAATATCATTTAAGCCTGATAATAGAGAAAGCAATTTGTCTGAGCATGTTTGTGCATGTGTATATGTGTGTATGTGTGTGTGTGTGTGAGAGAGAGAGGGAGATAGAGAGGAGCAGCAGAAGCCTCTGGTTGTGTGCGTCGGGCACACCTCAGAGCATTGTAATTACAGCAGCAGCTTTGAAGTGGTGGAATGTTTGGCAGGGATAATCAGCGGGCTGTGCTGCACTCACACACTATTTACATTCCCATTAAAGTGCCCATTCACACCATCGGAGCTGTAAATTCAACCATCCGCACTGATATTTACCGAGCACTAAGTTGAGGAAGTAACTTGTAAAAATATGAAATATGACTGATGGTATCAGTGGCGTTGGTGTTTACACAGGAGGGTCAATTTCTAAGTTTTAGGTAAGATCTTTCACAGCTAGAAACATCCCTCAAACTCACTTATTGTGCATTTATTTAAA